GTACCAAATCCATTTTCAAATATATATAACAAATATAAAATATAATTGAAAATGAGACTTAAAGAAAATAATAAATACAAGATTTAATTGCACGCAAAAATTCAGAGACTGATATTTTCTTAGTTTGTTCTATGCTCCATGGTAACGTCGGGTCGTTATCGCTGGGCGCCGTACACAGGGAACGGCTATGCATAACTCGGCCCGCAGCAAGATCAATGACCCCTAATAGTCAATTCCATAGCAGCAGAACCGTGGGACTGTTCCTATAAATAGTTCTAGAAGAAGCGGGTACTGTCATTAAATTGCCTTTATCCTGTCACTACGAATTTATTCCTCCATGCTCATGGCAACAACATGAGTTTGGCCTGGTTATAACACTGGGCGGCGTACAAAGGGTTAGTTATGCAACTCGGCCGGCAGCAAGATCAATGACACGAACACTTTGTTTCAGTCTATATTTCCATAGCAGCAAAGCGTGGAAATGTTCCTATGAATAGTTCTAGAAAAAGCAATATACTGGCATTAAATTGCGTTTATCCCGTCAATATTCATGGCAAAAACATGAGTTTGGCCTGATTATAATACAGTATAAAAGTGTATAGGAAATTTCAGTGGGTTCCGAGTCTTGGTATTCGACATTTCGGTTTTAAATTTTACAGAATAGCTCAATAACAAAAGACAGGATATAGTATTAAAATTAATTCATAATAATGAATGAAACTTATGACAAAACATAGAAAAGAGACTTGTCGATAAATTACAGTACATCAAAATCACGAGATAAACCGACGCAAACAAGTAGAACAAAAACGTCGGAAAACGAACCTTAATTCGCGAAATGGAATCGTCCAACATTTTTGATCAGTATCTTGAACCACTCGTCGGCAACGCGAAGAGATTTTAATCCCCAACCACGCGTTGTAGACGGGTATACGCGTTGCTTTATTTTGCGAGGCTCCCTACAAAATTGTAATGTCGCAAAGTTATATTTGTTTTCTTAATATAGCATTCAAGATTGTTTGTCTTATTGTCTGCCTCGTATATTCTGAATATATTAGAACATTATATTTTTTAGATTGTATTTTATATGTACTAAACAAAGCGTGTATTTAACCATATTAGTAGAGGATGTATGAGCCTTCCCGCGTATGCTAGAAGGTCGGTTGATATCCAGGGGACATCTGAAATAAATGATGACGTGAATTATTTTATCAAACACCACAGACCTTAACTACCTTTTATTAAATTCTGAAGCACATATTTTTGAATTGAATAATGATTCGGCAATGATAAAAAAAAGTCTAAAAGTCTAGGCCTAAGCCTTAATTTTAGTGAATGTATTATTGTCACTCAGTCACGCGTACATGTATATACTCTACCAACATAAAAATAAAGTTTTACGACATGAAATGTATTTACTTGACGTAAATGCACAGGTAGATAATAATTATCATCATGGCAAGGATAATAATGAAATGGTGAAGATAATGATGACGGATGACCATCAACAATTATTTATATACATTGTTAATAATATAAGATAATGGAACTTGTTTTCTATAAGGCATCACCATAAAATGCTAACAATGTGTGATAATTTCTACAATTAATTATAAAGTTATCATGTTACTTACTGTATTTCAAACAATTTATGTATCTGTCTCAGTATAAAATATTAATTATACGAGTACTTTATATCATATAGTTCATTATCAGGTACTCAGATGATGACCTATAGTCGAAAGTACTACATTTTATTCTGAGATAAATACATAAACTTTGTTTGATTTATTATTATTATTATTATTATTATTATTATTATTATTATTATTATTAATATTATTATTATTGTTATTATTATTATATATATATATAATTGTTTTGAGATTGTATCTGATACAATCTCAAAACTATCATCAACTAGTAGCCGAACATTTGAGTTTAGCTGGTAATTCAATTTCAAATTTCATATTCATTGCAATAGACTATAATGCCAATTGGAGCGACAAAAATCGCAAAGATAAAGAGAATCACTGGGAACTTTTACTTAAAACAACCACACCATTTGGCTTTAATATTAGGAACGTTCTCCTAGTACACTAAATTAAACCAATGGCATTCCAAATTTATCTGGATAAATCACTTGGCTTATTTATAGAGGCATGGCTCTAAAGTTTAGTTTTGGCCTTCCTGTTTACTTGTTTAGGCTGTTTATTCTAATTTCACCTAGCTTATTGTTTCCAATCATGCTTGCATGAAATCCTCACTTTATACTATGGGGAGCTCTTTTTACCCTCACTCACTCGCCACTGATGAAAGATTAGTATTGTCCAAAAGATCTGGTTCTATTTGTGGCTGTTTATTTACGTTTTCTTTTTAACTATTGCTTATCAAATTTGTATTTGTATATTTATTTATTTATATTTATTTATA